ACAAATAATTTTTATTTTTGTACATTTAGATCCTTTATCTTGCTAATAATGGGTCATTGATGACTTAACGCTTATTATTAACTGGTGCTTTTCAATATAGTTGAAAGATATAATATAAACTAAAGTATATTAATAAAATTTACTTTGTGAATATTTTTTCATTTGCTACGGCTGGACCTGCATTAGGTGTAAGAACGAAAGTCGTCGTTTTGTAGTTACATAATCATGTGTACTAACTGTCACGTTGCATTTTTTGCATGTCTACAGCTTACCGTAAAACCTACTCCGGCGAACAAATGCTTGGTTATACCTGCACTAAGTGCAGCAAGTTCTACAAAATGTGGAGCAACTATCTCAAGCACAAGTGCGAAGCGCCCGAATTCAAGTGCCTTATGTGCCCGTTCGCAGCCTTCAAGGCATTTATCTTGCAAGCTCACCAGATGGAGCAGCACTTTTCTCGATTGACGGACCAAGTTGCCGAAAATCTTTCGAGATCCAACACATCTGAAAAGAACAAAAATTAATTATGAAACATTGCTGTAATACTGTTCAGATTGTATATTACATAGGAACAAAGTAAAGATCGCAAAAAATCTATTACTTTCGATAATTGCTGCTGAAATTCTATAAGACTGACTCAAAAAATTAGTAACAAGTAACTAGAAAATTAAAATTTTACATTATAATAAATTGAACCTCAAAAGACTGTAGTAAATTATATGTTCTAAACTTATCGCGAATAACTATTTAATGTTTAAATTATTAATATTTTTGTATATCATGTACTCAATTTCGTATTCCCTAAAATTTTTCGGATAAATATTCATTAACACTTCTCTAAGTGCCAATTTTATAATTATTTTATTCCTATCATATAGCCGTGACTAATTGAAATTTTTAATCATTCAACTGAACTTTATTTTAATAGTTCATATGTTTTAAATATACATTTTTTATAACTACTTCGCAGCCTCTAATCTTAAATATTAAAAATTATATCAAATGAATGTATTTTTCAAGCTTTAATAAATATTTTCAATGTAGAAATATTTTTCAAATTCTTTTCATGAAACAATATCGTTGCCTCTTTATGTGTCAATTATTTCATGTAATAAAATAAATCATAATGTTCACTGTAATACCAACATTCTTGATTTTTAATTTTTATTTTTCAGAATTTGTCTCGAGATAAAATCGTAGTATTTTTTGTACCTAAGGAGTGAAAAATTTGAAAGTCAAAAAGCACGTATAATACGTCAGCCAAGACAAAGCCGAAGCTCATAATCACGTACTCAGAGACTTTCTTTTTTCGCTACATAGGTACAAAGATACTTTTTTGTGAATCCCCCAACCTGAAGTATTATTTATATTTCGCTCGGCGGAGCAAAATATTATTTTATTTTTGGGTTGCACACGAAGACTTTTGTTTGATACCACTGTGTGGTCATTATATTGGGGATAATTAGTAGGTTGATTTAATGATGAATCGTTTATTTAATTTTTCACCTTTTTTAATTTCTCCATTATTCATAATACTATATATTTTTCAGATTACTGGTCAAGCTCCATCACTAGTGGGCCATACGATTCTGTAATACATGAAAATAATCAATCGGGGAAACGTTTCAAGTGTCCTAATTGCGATCGACGGTACTTGAGACACAGTACTCTCAAACGCCATCAAAGATATGAATGCGGACAGCCACGCAAGTATCAGTGCCAAAAGTGTTATAAGTGGTTCAAACACAAACACGCTCTTGAGGAGCATGATATTGTGCATCCAGGAGGAAATGGTCGATTTTCGTGTCGATTCTGCCAAAAAAAATTTCTCCGACTAAGTCAATTTACAGCACACGAGAAAAAATGTAAAAAAAAAAATAATAAATAAAGCCAGTTTATGAGCATCAAATTTTCGAAAAATCACTGATTCATGTTTATAAGCTGTGTAAAATATTGATAAATAAAATTCCGCTTAATAACATTTAATTATAAAGAGAAACATATAATAGTTTTTATTTAATTTCTTTTTATATCTTTATCTGGGAGTTAAAAAGGATAGGAACATTTTTTAAAGCAACATTGTTGACAATATACTAATTGAGATATTGCTATTTCAGGAAAAATTTCAGATTCTTCTTGAGAAAATGCGGAATTTATTTTTGGATTCAATCAAGCCAGTCTCTTAACGTTTTTTCCAATGATTTTTTAATCATTCGAATATAATTTTGAACTTTTCAAGCTTGCATAGTAACCTTCAGTGAATCAAATTTTTTTTTAAACTTCATTTCCCATGAACATTTTAATGTACCCGCTCATTTTTGCGTAACTGCAAATTTCTCACATAGGTCGATAAAGCTCTTTAAAAATATTAAATTAAAAATATTAATTTAAAAATACTTTATGTAGTAAAATTTTACTGCCTGATTATCTTCATCTATTTATTGTTCCTGTACAATGCAAAGCTATTTCTTAAACTTTTTACAATAGTAAAAATACACGTTATATTCTAGAATTCTGCTTTGATCGAAAATCTTTTAAAAATATGCTTATTATGCTTTTTATATATTACCTCACCTATCTTCTATCTAGTGCTATTCACCAATTATTTATCATCCAAAACTTTCGGATATAGATCCACTGACGCATAAGAAAACTATTCGCGGCTTTTCAACTAATCCATGCTGAAAATTATATGTTTCAGCTGAAGATTTAACAATCGCGTCTAGCCTAAAGTGGGCCGAGGCATGGCACAAGCTGGCCGAAAATGTGCCGTCGATTATCTGGCAGTCCAGAATGGCCCTAGCCAGTGGCAAAAGCCTTAATTATGAGCATAGCCCGACCAACTCGCCGAGTTTGAACGACGGGGGCTTTAGTTGCTCAGCTTGCGGCCGTGTTTACAAGTTGAAAAGTAGCTTGCGCAATCATCAAAAGTGGGAGTGCGGCAAAGAGCCTCAATTTCAATGTCCCCACTGCGTTTATCGGGCTAAGCAAAAAATGCACATCTCCCGGCACATGGAACGCATGCACAAGGAAAAATTATACTCAATGGACTCAATGGCTTAGACAAGCTCCATTAAAGGAAAACTGAAGATTAATTTAGATTATTATTTTTTTTTATTTTATCATTTAAATTTTAACTGTATGACGCCGCTTTAAGTTTTTTTTCAAAAACAATATGAACTTACTAAACAGTAAGTTAAAAGTGCAATTTTTTGGATGATACAACAAGTTTTGGCAACAGAAAGCTTTACAAAATTCACTGTGATACATAACAAAATTATTACCATAGATAAAACATCTGGAACGATGTTAAACTTCCCCCAATAGGGTGGACCCAAGGTCCGCCGTAACTCATTGTTAAACAAATGATTTGGGCATTACCGATATAAAGCGTTCTTTAATTTATAATAATTTTAAATTGATTGCTAGATTTAAAATCCAATCGATTTAACGTTCTGAGGAACTCAGATTTATTTCAAACTATATAATATCTTGTTTTATTTATTAGATTTAAAGTTTTTTTTTAGTTAATAGATCGATTTATGCATTTTCCACCGCAACAGTTCTGGTCAATTCAGTTCCATAGTTAAAATATTTATTAAAAATAGCTCTACTTATCGTTCGTGTGTGCGCTGGCCTTGCACTTCACTCATCACACCATATTCATGTACAAAGTCACACCATTATCATCACCGACATATTTTTTATTGTAAATATATTAAGTGATTCATTAGTTCACGTTAATTTTCAAGACTGATGTTAAATATTGCCCACACCAGTGGCGCATCTCAACATTCCTTATAATTTCTAAGTTATTTTAATGATTTTTTTTTATAAACTACGTAACAGTCGCCAGCGCAGCATGATCATTTATTTTACCCCATATTATTGCAAAGCAGAAAACATTTATCTGAATGAAATCAAAACCCCGCGTGTCTTTGATAATTTTAAATTGTAATAGCTTCACCGAAAAGCTAAAATTGGTTAATATTTCAGTAAGAGTGATTACTATCATTTAAAAAATGAAGTGCCTATTTATTATTTCAAAATTAAGTTTTTATTTAGTAACTTGTCAATGCAATACTTCTTTGGCAATGTCATAAGTACGTTCTGCAAAATTTTTTTATGCAGAACTCGAAATTTTAATGATCACTGTAGCCTTATTACGTGCCTTTTTGTAAGAACTATGTGTAGATTAAGCTTTCACACGATTAAAATATTTCCACGTAAAAAAACGTCAAATATGTATTTAACTTGAAAAAACGTAATAAAGGAAAAATTTTTTAAATTTATCGATTATCATTACATCAGTAGAGCACTTGATTGAACGCATCCAGAATAAATAATGTTTTCAACTATGTTTTTATCTGATTTTACATAGACATTTTTTTGAGGATACTCGAGAAAGATACTCGGAAAATGAAAATATTGTTGAATAATCATTAAAATTTCAAGCAAATTAAAATTTCTTTTGTTTTTTCAGGTCTTAAGAGTCTATTTTATTATCAACCAATCGGATGAGAATAATTAGCCAACAAGCTAAACAATTTATTGATTGAAAACCTTCTTTCACAGAAGTAAGAGACATACGTGCATTTTGTTCAACGGAATCGATTAAATTTTGATTTTGTCATTGATTATTAGTTTTTATCATAAAATATTATTGCCAAACATATTAGATTGCAGTAACCAGAAGAGTTTATGAATATTAATATATTGAACAAAAAAGTTGTGCTTATTTTTATCATTATTAGTAGATCTCGTAAATCCATTTTACTAACTTCTAATAAACTGCCTCGTTATTTTATATTTATCATATCATCATTAATTGAATCGTTTTCTTTTTTCAGATCATCAGTTCTACATGCAAATCACAAACGATATGCTACCAGTTTACAAGCCAGTACCGGAAAGAAATTATTTTTGCGGCCAATGTGGCCGGGGCTATACTCGCAATGAAAATCTTTTGCGCCATCAAAGACTCGAGTGTGGCCAGTCTCCTACTTATTTCTGTGATCTATGCGATAAACGATTTTTCCGACGATATGAACTCACAAAACATAAAAGACTTAAGCATCATGTATGAATAGTACGTTAAATTTGCCAAATAAAATTAATTATTTATACTCTACATTAAATAAAGAGTAAAGGTTTTGACTGATGAAGTATTAAATTTTATGTTCATTCATTTGAATCGTTGAAATTTTACTGAAAAATTATTTTAGGTTTATCATATAAAATAAAATATCATTAAAACATTAAAACAAAAAATAACTCATCAAAACATCATTATAAAATATGATAAAGTAATAAATTATACAATAGATTGCTACTCGTCGACTCGGCGTACTCGCAATATTTTTTACATCATTTTGATTTTCTGTTTCAGATACATTTTATAGCTCTGTTGCTCCGGGAGAATTAAAACTTCCACCTCCAGTCGTCAAAAAAAATGGTCGCTTTTATTGTCCACAGTGTGAAACGTCTTTCACTCGTAAGGACAATCTGCTATACCATCTGAAGTATCAATGTGGACAATTACCCCGGTTCTGCTGTCCTTACTGCGATTACAAAACTAAACATTCGCCGAACGTAAGGACGCACATTCGCAGACGTCATTTCGGCTACAAAGTTTATCTGTTCGACAGCTTAAAAAATATTGAAATTTACTGAACTATCTTACGTTATCTTTAAGAGTTGGTGCAAAGAGAAATGATTATATGTTTACCACGTTCAAAAATGAAGGCATTTTAAAAGCGTAAGATTTATTCACTCGTTGAGCTATATTTTATTAAAATCAGTTTTAAGTATTATTAATTTTAACCAACCTAAAAGTGTTCATCTTTTGTGCATTGCCGAATAATTAATTTAACATTCACTGTAATACAGGGGAAAAAGTACAAGACATTTAAATTTATGTAATTAATAAATTATGTAAGTAATAAAATTGAATTCTATCTCAAAGTTTTTAAATCTTCCAGACATGATTTTAAATTTTATGCAGTATAGTTTCATTAATTGTATCAAACTTAATTTTTCAGTTTGTCATCTGCTGCAGCTCTGCTATGTTTTATCATTAATTTTTTTTTTTTAATTATCTTCATTTGAATTTTAAGTCATTTTCATGTGAATACATCAAAACTGTCATTTTAAGCAAGGCGAGATTTTAAGCCGATGTATAAGTATGAATTTACGAACACATTCTAACGATCAATTTTTTTTTCGATGAGGTGTAGGGACCTCCACAAATAACAAAACAAAGATTTGCTTTCCCTTGGCGTCTTTTATTCCATAATACATATTTTTATATTTAAAAAAATCCTGACTGATAAACGATATTTTTCCTTATTCAGACTTCGTCACCGAAGTTGCCGAGACAATTGAGCTATCCACGTCTACGCAATCCTACGAAGACGTCCTCGCACAGCCACAGCCGTCTCTAGTGCTTCCGCAGATAGTCGCACCGATCCCGACGACCGCTAAGAATTCCGCGCGTAATATCTGCCACCAGTGCGGAAAGTCGTACGTGCACTTGACCACGCTGAAGCGCCACTTGCGTTACGAGTGCAACAAACCGCCCCGTTTCTGCTGCGTCTATTGTCCACAGCGCTGCAAACACAAGACCGATCTGAAATCGCACATGCTCCGCTGTCACAAGGGCCAAAAGCTCAGCTTTTTCATTTGCGACGACAACGAGGCGTAATAATATGAAGACATTCACGTCTAATTACTTGTTTATAAATTATATTGTACAGATTGAAAATTAAAGTTTTATAGTATATAAGTTGTTAACGTACGATAATAAAGTATTTCAATCATCGATGATCTTACATTTAACTACGCTTTTCTCGTTAATACACAATTGTCATCATGTAAAACACTCATGTAAAATTAAGTATAAAAACCGCCGATCGAACATATCCAACTAATCAATTTTATATATCTTCAGTTTCAGGGTCGTACGACGACACGGGAGAGCAGGGCTACAGGCTCGTTTATAGCGAAAATAATCAGTGTCCTCAGTGCGGAAAAATGTACGCTTATCCGAGCACGCTGAAGCGTCACTTGAGATACGAGTGCGGCAAGTTGCCCGTGTTCGGTTGCCACTGGTGCGTTTATCGCTCCAAGAGACTGGACTCGCTCAAGGCCCACGAGGCCGTGTGCAAAATGAAAAAGCATCATTATCCCAACGCAAATCTGTGATTCGATGTACATATTAATTATAAAATTGTTGAAGACGCTCGAAGACGACAGTTCGATCGAAACTTAATTGTAATAGGAAATAAAAGAAAAAAGGCACGAACAAGACTGGTTTTTTTTCAATCGCACCGCCCTCGAGAAACTTTTGACTTCACAACCCCACTAATACTCATATAGCTGAAAATTAGGAAAAGTAAAAACCTCGATAATCAAGTTGTTGTGCTCACTCAGTTCGACGTGCTTTTTCAGATCCCCTCGCCCTGGAGAGTACTCAGTATCCCCCGATACGGCCAGTGGAACGAATCTACGTGGACTACTCGGGAAAGCGCGGCTTCGTCTGCGATCGCTGCGGAAAATCTTACGAGTATCAGAGCAATCTCGGCCGGCACAAGCGCTACGAGTGCGGCGTTCAGCCGCGCTTTTCTTGCGCGTACTGCGGTCAAAAGTGCAAGCAAAAGGCTAACATGCTCAAACACATTCAACAGGTACACAAGAACATGAAGGTCAAGTTTAAAGAAAATTAGCGGGACAATTCGAACGTGGCGCTGCCAGACAATCTCTTCTGAAGACGTGTCAGTTTTAACGCAGTCGTTGCATGTACATTAATAGTAAATGTAAATAAAAGAATGCAGTTGCTTTTTTCTCGAAAATGCAGCTAGAAAGAATAAAGACGTATGATGCAAACAATGACTTGTTTCTTCTTCATTACAGAAATACATTAGGACAGGGCATGACTTGTTACGTTTCATAATACTTATCAAAAATCATGGTGTTTTCATAAATTGTCATACTTCAACAACTGTATTGTCAAATTTTTTAACTCATTAATTATCTTTATCATTTATAGTTTGCAATAGTTTCAGGTAATTCGAAGATCAGACCCGTGCCTTCGTTAACTAAAATCTCTAGACCTAAACCTAAACCTAGCCACGTACGTGACTTATTTAGATCGGAGATTGAAAATGACCGCAGCAAGAGTGAAAATGTCCCTAACGCGAATGAAAATGTCCAGACCAAGGATGAAAATATCCAAATCACTTATGAAAATGTCCGTAGGACTGTAATAACTTCTGTGCCATCACTGTACAAAGGTATAAAATAGATTCAAAATTATTAATACATAATAAAAGAAAAAAATGCAGGGTGGAGATGAATATTTGATAGCAGATTTTTCTTTTGAAGGAAGGCATTGTACTTTGACCACATTGGAGACCATACTAGAAATATTAGAATTACATTGTAATATTCATTTCTACTTTGGCTTTAGCTAAATCAAATGGCACTATGATAGATATTTATGTAGAAACCTACAAAAACGCAATAGTTGAGGGCTAAACTTTTTATGCTACTGTCTTCTAGAGAGCACAAATGAACATAAATTAAACGATCATAATTGAAATTTCGAAAACAATTTTTGAAAAAAATTCTCCCTCTGCTACTGCGTTTTAGTAAATTGTGACTCATTTATTGAATTTCAACTCATTTATTGAATTCCGATCAAATACAGGACACTTATTCAGTTGCCAGGCCCGAGACTGCGATAAGGTATTTGCAACAAGAGAAGAACAGATGAATCACATGTCCTTCATGTGCCCAAAAATGCCCAGATTCATATGCTGTCATTGTTTTTACTCGGCATTGGATTGTGAAATAATCCAGAATCATATAATCAACACTCATCCCGGTTTGAGAGTCTCATATTTATGCGTTACCGAAAAGGGACAAGTTATCACGAAAATGAAATGAAAGCAAGAAAATTAAAAAAAATAATCTGTTAATAACACGCTGGCTACGAAAGCAGATTATTTAAAATTATTTCGAATTTAGAAACTTAATTTTTATATTCATTACAGGTTATGTGAATTTGACAAAAGAGCTATTATCTTAAACAAAAGTATTAAAAGATTAATGTTTTATGACGATTACGTTGTGAGCTCAAAATATTAAGCTACACGTTTAAACGGAGATAGTTGTGAAAAAAAAATTGTGTCTGTCCTCCAATTCCAAAGATTGTATTTTTTGATTCATTAAAATACAAAATGTATGAAAAATCTTGAAATGTTCGACTATTTTGGTAAATAAGTCGAATAAAAAAGACTGCTGACAAAGTGAAAAATCATCATGCAATACTAGTCAAATAAAGCTTTGTATTACGTTTTTATAGCTTTGAAAATAATTAGAAATAAAATTCATCTTTACACTATACTTATTTATTTTACTTTTATCTATCTCTTTTATCTATCTAATTAACACCGTCGCTGTATCAGGTTTAACAAAATGTGTTTGAGTGTAACAAAAAAAAAACATCACAATCTACCAATCTCTGCATATTAACTACGCCTATCTATCCATGCCTATATCTTTCCATGCAGTCCTAAAAATACAACTTTCCTTGAAGTTCTGCGTCATCCGAAAGGCTTCTTCTGTGATGCAGGGTGGAGATTCCACGAGTACCTGTTGTTTTTTAACGTGTTAATTTAAACTCTGCACTCTAGCTCTAGGTTTTACAGGCGAAATTTCAATAAAATAACTGTCAAAATACGTGAAAATAGTGCATCTTTCAAATTGTCACTTCATTCAATCTTGTCATCGGTCTTATTTACAAAATCATTTTGTTTGTAAACATGATGTCATAAATTCATCAAAATAATCGTATATCATAAACCTAGTTAATTTTGTTGTCTGGCATGAATTATCCCACATTGACTCATACTTTTCTTTGCTCATTAAATTTGATTTATAATTTAAAAACTAATAATGTTTAATCATTGACTTTTATTAACGTGGAAATATGTTTTTAGTAGGACTGCCAAGCTTCAAATGGGAACACCTAATCGAAACGCCAGAAACACGGAAAAACAAAAAAAGACTAGAAAGGAAGGTCGAAATAAAATACGTCGTTGGTGTGGAGAAAAAAAAGACTTGTAAAAAAGAAAAAATGGCCCCAGACGTCGTTACAAATATCGATAGGACCAAAAACCCGAATATTCAATATACGAACATCTTAAAACTTGATAAAAATACGATAAAATTGCCATTCGGATGTCCGTATTGTTCTTATTGCTCAAGAAGAACTCCTAGAATTTACGAGCACATAAGAAAGTTTCACAAAGATAATAAAGTCTATTATGTAGATGTTTAAAGCTTTAATTCTATTTTCCTTGTAAGTCATGCTACTTGAACAAATGTTTTTTATTTTTTATTTGAATTATTCTTCCAATAAAATTATATTTCTAATTACTCGAACATTGTTTTAATTAAAAATTATGAGCTAACTATAATATTGTAACTGCACGTTCCCCCAGCTTGTGTGTCTAATAATTAGCTCGATCAACTGTCACTTAAATGTACCATATTTGACATTTCATTGAAAATTCGCTAACTAATTTTCTTTATCAATTGATTTACTTGACCCCGTTCAATCACTGAATTAAAAAAAAATTCGATTGAAACGGTTAAATTAAATCAATATTTTCATACACTATCATCAAACTTCAAAAGATTGCAATGAAATTTGGACAACTCTGACGAATTCGATTTTTTTTTTCTTAGTTCATCGTAAAAAAAGGCGGCCTGCTTCAGCATTCAAGAATCCACGAGCGTTCACGAGCATTCCGCTGAGCCAGACCAAAGCCATCATGTCCATCCTGCCGAACCCGCTCACCATGAAAAAGACAGTTTCCAAGCACTTCCCGAATCTTTCTCCCGAGGTGTCATTGGAAAAGGTCAAGAACGTGAAAGCCAAAGAATCAAGCGGCAGCAATGACGCGACAGGCGACCGGAGACGATCTACGACACGCAACGTCGATTATAGGGAGCGATCGTCTCGGTCCCCCGTACTCGAGAACGGCGCGAGAGTAATTAGAAAAAAATCGAAAAAAGATAAAAATAAAAAGCGCGGTAGGCCTGCTAAAAGCCCCAACTACGGTATACCCGTAATAAAGGTAGAGAAGAAAGAGGACGACTTCATTGATGTAGTTGGCTTAGAGCCCCGTGAGAGAAACGGCGATAATCGTAAGAAACGCGTAGGCAGACCGCCGCGTAAGTTGCCGCTCGATAATAAAATTGTTAAGGTAGAGGACTTATTGTCCAAATTAAAAACGAGAGATTACGGAAAAATGAAAAAGAAAGGACGCGGCCGGCCCAAACGCCTTTCTAATACTCTGCCCCTTGTCAAAAGTGAAATAAACGACTTGAAGCTAAAATCGTCATACGTCAAGCTTACCAAGCTTGTGGTTCCTGAAAAAACTGACAAAGGGCCGCAACAATCCGAAGCTTCCGTCGACGCGCAACCCGAGCTTCCATCCGATGGCGATTCTGCTGTCGTCAAGCCTGATAATCCTGAAAATAATCCTGATTGTAACATTTATGAAATAGCCAACGGTGCTAGCGTGGAGGAGGTGAAATCCTCCGACGAGGCGGGTAAAATCCCAAAAATTTTTATTAAAAAAAAGAGCCCATGTAATTCCAACGTGAACGTGACGATAAAAACTAAAAATGATTCTAAATGATGTAAAAACTTGAAGTTCAAAATATCTCATGGCTCTTTTTTACATTGTGATTGATTATTTATAACAATTAGGTAGTGTTTAGATCTTTTTTAAATTTATCATCGGTAACGAATCCATGATGTTACAAAAATTATAATTAAGTTAAGTAATTTGACAATTTCATTCATTTATTTTTTTTTTTCGGATTCCATGAACAAAAGTTATATTTTCATATAATATACACGTATACTAAATAATATTTATTAATTATTTAAATAACATGTGTTTTAATTCATGGTTTTCATCATTTTTGAAGCCAAAAAAGATTTTGATAATCTTGCACAAACGAGAAAAATGTTTAAATCTCAAAATAAGATTGATAAAAAGCTTTATAACGCGTTCAGCTTTAAATTTTGCTTTAAAATTTAGCATTAAAATTCTAAAATTTTTGAATCTAATGAAACTTCTGCAAAGAGTTTCAAATTTAATATTTTCTAGTTTAAGATAGGGTTATATTGAAACTTATATTCAATATATTTTTTATGTCACGTTGAATTTTAGCATGTATTTTCAATATGTGGCTGTTAAGAAATTGTAATTGCGACAATTAGCATGCGATGTTGCGAATTATGATTTTTTTTTCTGTCCAACGCACACCAGCAGCCAAGAAATATGACCAATATTAAATATGTATGACGTAATTGTAACTATGCATTTATTGGAATCATTGAATAAAGTTTTGTCAACTCCTAATCCTCTCTTTAACAAATTATTCAATTAATAATCTCATATACTTTCTTCCAACTATCGCAAAAAAAAGCTAAAGCCAAATTTTGTTCACTAACAACTCGACGAATTTTTGTTTCTGTTTTTCAGATCCCATCGCGATCGACGACACGACCGTCTGGCTGCAGGAAGATTCGTCGTCGGCGGCGGCGGGGGGCGCGCTGAACTTCACGAGCTACTTGTGCAAGAACTGCAGCGCGGGCTTTCGTCGCGTCGCCGATCTCTATAGGCACAAGTGCGGCCCGATACCGCCCCGATACGCCTGCCCGTACTGCGAGAAGCGAGATCACTACTCGTCCAACATCAATCGGCATGTCAAACGATGGCATCCCAATATGCCCATCAAGTTCTCGAAGATATTCTGAATTATTTTAACTAATTAATTTTTCGTATTTTGATCATTTTTTCAATTATTGTTATTTTTAGACGAATAATCGATTTTTTTATGAAACGAGGAGTGACAAATGATCACGAAATTGTGCCTAGTCCTTAGATTTATTGCAATATACTAAATTTAAATGTAATTATTTTACTATTCAAATTCAAATATAAAAAAATGTCGGTAAAATGCATTCTTATTTGTACAGTATTATCGATTTTAACTCATAAGAATCTTTTCGACAATAATTAAAAATTATCTCACTACTAACAAATCGTATCATAATTTTATATATTTTGTACGTTTTATAAATTTCGAAAATCATGCCTGTAAATAAACAATGAACTACAGTTCTAGGGCCTTTTTTCTTTCATAAAATATAGCTCATAATATTCCGCTGATTTCCATTCAAGCTTCAATTACACCCTCAACTAATTTACACATTTTTCTTTTTCAGGTTCAACGAGCGCAAACTTGTATTACATAGTTGACCCGAACAACGCCAAGCCTTACCAATGTATGAGCTGCGACAAGCGCTTCAGTCAGAAGACCACCATCACCGACCATTTGAGATATTTTTGTGGCAAGGGCCCGCAGTTCAAGTGCAAGTACTGCGAGCACAAGTCCATCAATTCGTCCAATATATTGCGACACTGTCGCGTCTGGCACAAACGCGATAAGCCGGCCTACGTCAGGCTATTCGAGAAAATGCGCAAAAGAAAAAAATAATGAAATAATTTTTTAATAATGACGATAGTTTGTATAATGTAAAAAATAAATAAGCACAACTTGATTATAAAAAAAACTGATCAATAATCGTAATCACACCTTCAACTAATAACAACTTTTCTTCTCGTTAGATAGTTTATCGACAGCCTTTTAGCCAGTATGATTTTATTTTAAACGTTTAAAACAAAAATCCTCCCACGACGCCTTTCTTCTCTCGCAATACTAATTCGCAATGTCGCTCTTCCGTTTTCAGATCCTCTAGCGCCCGAACATCCGGGCTACATACTGCTGTCGACCTCCTACAAGCGCTTCCAGTGCCTCAAGTGCAATCGGCGCTTCAGCCAAAAATCGACCATGATCGACCATTTGCGCTACTTCTGCGGCAAAGGCCGCCAGTACAAGTGCCCGTACTGCGAGACCCTCGGCCACAGCTCGTCCAATATTTATCAGCACGTGCGACGCCATCATCAAGGCAAAGAGCCGAGGGCCATCAAACTGTTTACGAAAATTCGCCACGCGGCTTTCATGCCCGACTCGTCATAATCTTTGAGCCCCCTTGTTTTTTATTGATTCGAAACGAACTATTGCCAAGCAAACGTTTTAGCTTAAATTTTGCGTTTGTCAAGTTGAGGGGCTGATTTTTTTAAATACTGACTTGGTGTACTACGTTGTGAGGCAGCTTATTTTTGTATCGAAACTTCATTTTTATTTTTAAATAATTAAGCATTTTCCGACAGTCTTCAGCTCAATTATGTGTACAGATAACATAATTATTATATAAAGTAAATTTTACACATTTAAGTACTTCATGTGTTATGGGATCATAATGTTTGTTCAACGTCGATGTACATTATTACTTTAGAATGCAGAATTAAAAATTCAAGACATATGACAGATTAAATTGTTACAATCAGACAAGCCGCTATATAATGAGTATATAGCATAGGTCAATTATAGTCGTCGAAGAAATACGGTTCGACTGATAAAGTTTCCGAATCGTTGTAACAAACTATAGCTTCAATTTTGGAAATTACATGCCAATATAATCTCTAAAAACAAAGTTGTCGCTTTATTTGTCACCACACCTCCGCAATACAATTTTGGTTTTTGTACGTATTTTTTTTTTTTTTTTTTTTAACTCTCATAATGCGTTTTGCTCGCGCGCCACCGCTCGCCACCGTAACACTTTTCACTGACAATTGCATATTTCATTTTTCAGGTAGCCGGGCCTACGCCGCTCGACCAACGAGGCAACCCAGACTGGCCCAGGGAAACAAGCGACACCCCTGTCCGCGCTGCTCGCGCACCTACAAGCACCGCAGCCACATGCTGCGTCACTACAAGTACGAGTGCGAGTCCAGTCACAGATTTCAGTGTCCGTACTGTCAGCTGCCCCTGAGGCAGCGTACCCAGGCCTGGCGACACATCAAGCACCTGCATCCAAATCAGCAGATGTACTGCATCGACGTGGCCACAAACACCACCCTCGTGCGCTCCGGCTGGTCGAATAACTAATTTTCAACAAATTATATATATACAAGTGTTGTTATTTTGTACGATATACGATGTAAATATCTAGTCGCGTTTTCTAAAAAAAATGAAAAAAAATTGCAATAAAATTGAGAGATAAACTTCTTTTCTAGCTCTAAGACTCGTTACTCAATGCATTAATACTTTTTAAGCCATTACTTTACAGGTTTTAGAGAAAAACTAATTCTGTAATAACATACGAAATCATCATCTTACAAATGCATTAAAAAAATCATAACCAATGGAAAGGACTTACTTTTGCACGATGTTTAATGAAGCACAATAATTGCACTGCACATGGTACAAATATTTCCTCCACTCTAAATGTTGTGCACTGAAACTCTTCACTGGTCTTTACTGCAAAGGCTCGCACAATAATAATAATATATATCTCTCAGCACCACGCACCCGTTGCCAAATTTCATGATTTGCTTCTCAAGCTTATACTAACATTTATTATTGATTCTATTTTAATGTAGCGATGTTGACGATCGAACGCGACGACGACGATAAAGACGCCACTGAAGAGCTGAACCTCGAGGACGACGGCTTCGAGGATCTCAAGCACACCGACTGGGACAGCGAGGCTCTGATGACCCTCGAGAGTATCGTGGAAAAAATCGACTCGATCGATACGTTGAACGATCAACCGATTACGGCCAACGTAGACGACGACGAAGACATCGTTATCCAACTGCCCGTAGAGTCCGAACATCCAGCCGAAGAAACCGCGAAAATCGTCAGCGTTGAAATTACAGCCCCCGCAGCTTCGGTAAGTGGCATCGAGAAGACAACGAGCGTCGCGGAGATTCCATCGGCAGAGATGAAAGCGGAACCGAAGAAGAAAGCTCGAGTACGGCCCTGGCGCACCAAGAGGCAAGCAGCAGGATCGGTCGGCCCCGAGCCCGCCGCAGCTGCCAAACCCAAGCAGTCCAAGCCCCAGGAGGCGCGACGCGAACGAGCCAAGGAATTCTTTTGCAGCAAGTGCCATCAGGGCTTCACCATGAAGAGCAACTGCATCCGCCACGAGAAGTACGAGTGCGGCCAGAAGCCGCGCTTCATGTGTCCGCACTGCGGCCTCAGGTGCAAGCAGACCTCGCAGATCTACGTGCACATACGCCGCAAGCATCCCAACGAGGAGATCTACGTCATCTCCGTGGAGAACTCGAGGGACAAGAAGAAGGCTCGTACGTAGGGATGGGGCAAGAGCGGATGGTCCTGGAGCAAGAAGTAATTGCTCCGGGCGCCGTGCCGCTGTCGCCTATTATCATGATGATAAAACGATCGATATACTATAATCCTAAATTCAGGAATTGCACATTTTTTCATGAGTACAAATCAACGTGAATATCAAATTTTTTTTCCAGAGAGGAGGAGATTGTCCTTGAAAAAAGGAAAATAAGTATACTTAATATTTTGAAACTTGAATTCGTAACGATGGTTGTGTATTACGAGAAAGTTCGAGGTGCTGATTTTAGTTTTTGGCGTTGACTCGTGTGATATTTACTCGAGTATAAATTGAGAGCAAGTGTCCAAGACAAAACTATATTGCAATAATCGCTAGGAATATTTACCAGCTTTACTCAAAAATGATCTGTTAAAAACAGATGGCTACGATTAGATAGCTGTTTATTTACTTCCAGTGCTCTTACTTAAACATATCATAATATCTATAATATAATATATTATATACAATGTACTCCTGTGGTGGAACGCTTAAAACTTCAATTTTATGAAATATTTAACTATTTACAAATATTAACCAAGTGATTTACAAAATGAAAGAAAAACAATCAACCTTTATGGAAACAATAAGTCTGATTCTTTTTTTTTCATCTCAAATGTGATTCTTCGAAGATTTTGTTAACTACATTTATACTTCCAAACTTTTGTTAAGTTTTCTATATTTTTTATACTATAGTTTTGAATTGCTTCATACTTCCAAAGTTCGCAAAGATAAGTTGTTGAAAATATTTCATCAAAATTTAAATGGACAATCACAAAATATTTGTATTAGAAGGTATTTGTTAAGTTGTTATTATATCTTTAACATGTGGTAAAAGTATCACAATTTATAGGTAATTGGTGTCTACTATATTTTACCATTTACAATAAGAAAATGTGGGATTTCACGTCAACTCTCTTTCTGCGTCTTGCGTGGCACTAGGAGAAAGGAGTGAAATGCCATATATGTTATACTCCGGTGTTTAGTGTGCTTAAAAAGACTAATATAATAATGAAACATATCGCCATGCCTTGGAATTTTGAGATTACAGTTATAATTCGTAAATATATATATAGCAGCAAACATGACTGAAAAGAAATACATATCAATTTATAAATTAGCACTACAGTTGACTTCAAGTCAAATAAGCACAAGTTACTTAGCATCTTAATGAAATTAATCCTGACTGAAATATCAGCAAAATTGAGATATTCTAAAGAATACAATTATACAAATGACTATTAAATGTCCTTATACCCAAGCTATATGGTGATTGATAGCTAGTAATATAAAATATAAGGTTCGTCTCGGTGGATGTATTATTTCTTAGATTTATGCAGCAAATTATACAAATTTTATGGACAAGAGGATTATTTATGGTGATTGTTTTTATATGTGTTTACTCGTGCTCTCTAATGTATAATTTAATGGTTTTTTTTAACTTGGTGCCAAACATATACGTATGTACTTATTTTTTTATGAACATACTCATATAATTAGTCTGTTTAATTTTATTTCGTTGTTTTATTAACTTTGTTATCAAGTCAAACGTTTTACTGTTTATTTCATTAAATCGAGCTCATTATATTTTGATTATTCAAGGATAAGAGACGACGATTTAATGATCAATTCAAAGTTATCCTGATATTATCAAAACTCAAAATAGTAATGTAGTTTTGATGTTACAATAAGAGGTTTAAAAATTTGTTATGTTTTTATTTACTAAATTGATTAAATCGTAAAAGTAAATATTTATACCCAGTGTCAGATCCAAGAAGCTTTAAATTCAAAAAATTTTCAAGTGGTATAAATTATATAATGCTACAATCTACTACTCATTAATACTTCAATCTTGGGTGTCAATTTTATAAATGTACCTAAAAAGTAGACAAAAAGCTTTTAAAAGGATTCGTTAACATGTAATCGTTCTTAATGATGGAATCAATCAATAAATAAATGTTACCAAGCCGAATAGAATTTTTTTCTTCAATCTCAACATATTTTAAAATGATAACAGCACTCGTAATTATTAACTGAATCACTTACATACAACTAACATGGTGTTTTTTTATTTTTCAGGTCAAATTGTTTAAGTAAATTGCACTCGCCCTGCAGCTTTAAAGACGTATAATGTGGATTATATAAGCTACGATACTTTGCGTTTCGGTCGGAGTCCTCCACATGCAAAAAAAGAAGATAAAAAATTAATTACATGTTAAAGCTAGTTTACAATCATACAAATATTTTAAATGTATATAATACGAACAAAAAAAGGCTCATCGAAACTGAGCTATACTCATATCCTTGAACGAAAAATACAGCTTTTTAATTTCTTCTTTCCATAATTCAAACTTTCTCATGTGTCAGTTTCAGTGTGTAATCATCAAAAAAATAACAACACTTCATCTTAATACAAATGTCTTGGTTCAAGTGTCAAAAACTGAAAAAAGCGCACAATCTCTCGTCGGATTGGACTAATCATAGCAGCGAAACGCTTTTTCTCTTTTGTGCTTGCAGGTACAGCCGCGAGCAAACGAATCTTTTTGAGATCCGTGCCACGGATTCTGCGTCACCGTGGGTCTCGCGAATGTCACTCCCAGTTTCAGCAGCCTCAACAGCAGCAGCAGCAGCGCGAAACGATCAGCGTACCCAAGACCAAGTCAGATCGGAATTCCGACAGTCACCCCGGCACATTATTAGCTTGCCCGGACTGCGGAAAAAAATTTCACACGGAGCAAGGTCTCATCCTGCACATAAAGTCGCAACACTATAAAGAACGCGGCATCGAGCCTGAACCCAGGTCCGAATGGTTGTGCTCGTTGTGCGGAAACATTTTTTCCAATAAAGGCAATCTCACTCGCCATATAAAAACCCTCCATGCATCTTAGAATCTCATTAAGGATTGCTTATATTTGTTCAATTTTTTGATACTGTATGTTTAAGAAACTTATAAGAATGAAATTTTTTTGTCAAGAAAAAAAATCTTAATATGACACACCACACGACTCGACTTGTACTTTTGTTTAAACTGTCGCCATAAAATGTAGTCAGTAAAATTATTATGAAATAATAAATTTTATTTTTTTTTAGGATTAATAAATCTTCATTGCAATAAAATATTAAAAATCACTCATTTATTAGTTATACATTTGTTTGTCAGAAGTAACAAAAACATCTCATCGTAGTACAAATGTGATTGTTCACGTATAAAAGTTGAAAAAAAAGCGCACGACTTCTCTTCGGATCAGACTGATCATAGAAGCGAAACGCGCTTCTTCTTTTCTGTGCTTGCAGGTATCTCAACTTCGACGTTTCATCGGCGTGTCAGGTCAAAATACACCTGCCTGGACTGCGATCGGACTTTCGGGATCAGAGCCGAGATGCTGCGTCATCGAGAGCGAGGAGAATGCCAGTCTCAGCCTCTACTGAAGCAGATGAAACACAAAATGTCCCAGATTCTCAAGATCGAGACGAATAATCGAGAGCAAGGAGAATGCCAGTCTCAGCCTCAACTGCAGCAGCAACAACACACAGACACCCCGATTCCCAAGATCGGGACGAATAATCATGTTACGACCAAGTCAAATTATTTCCTCGGCCCATTCTCGTGCTCGGTTTGCAGAAAGACCTATATATACCCTATGACCCCCGATGGTCACAATAGAGACTTCGGCACTGTGTGCACATTCTGCGAGGAAAAAATGAAAAACAAGGTCATTCGCTTCATTAAGACCCGTCGTAATTCTTAGAACGTCGTTACCTATTGCTTAAATTTATTTAATTTTTTATAATATGTTTGGTCATTTATTCTTAATATTAGAAAAATATATTACGATTTTTTTTATGCGAACTAAATTAGCTTTTTCCTTGAGCTGTACAGAATTTTTCTTGTCACTGTGAAATACGAATTAATTAACTTTTTGGGATACACAGCAACCAGCTTGTACCCATATGTCCACTATCAAATAAAGCCAGTAAAATTATTTGAAAAAAAATGTATCATATTTTTAAGGATCAATACATTTTCATTTCAACGCTTGTAAAAAATAGATATATATGAATTAGATATATTCGATCGTAGGTTACTAACGTTATATTTCATCGTCTGCACGACAAACGCTTGTGGTAACTAATAAATCATTCGAAGCGAACAATTATTTACTGACCAAGGACTTTTGTTCTTTTTTTTGCAGGTTGTTACTTGCCGCTGGACGAATTAGTTAACGCGCGGCGAACGAGGCACCGGATCGACCGCAGCCGACCGTTCATGGTGTGCCAGAGCTGCGGGCGAACCTACACGCATCGACACAATCTGCTGAAGCACATGAAGCACGAGTGCGGCGGACAACGACACTACTCCTGTCACATATGCCACATACGCTTCACGCAGAAGAGCAGCGTCAAGAGACACTTGGCCTTTAAGCATTTATCCGGAGTTTAATGTTAGCTCGAAATTATGTTTTTGTATGTGATCATATACCCATTGCGAATAAATGATTTTTCTATAGATCGATGTGTATCATTGAGCAAGTGATATGCGAAAATTTGCAGCCTCCAGTGACGCACTATTTTAACAATATGAATCTATTTACAATATTTCAGTACCCATACATTCATACATGCGCTTAAAAACTTCATGTGACTAAAACTCTCATTTATTTATTTATTTATTTATTTACATTTTTTAATACTTTTTACGAATATATATCAAAATTTTCATTCAGCTGAATTAACCAGTGGCTCTCTCGTCTTCTTTTCCTGATTTCAGATCGCATGCAGCTCTTCTGTGACACGCTGTCGATCGAGGTCTGGCGCAATTGCAAGAGGCACCTGTGCTGCCTGAAGTGCGCCAAGCGATTCAGCGACTGGCGCTGCTTGCGCAAGCACATGAACTTCTTTTGCCAGATCGATCCCCTATATCAGTGCCCGTACTGCATCTACAGGGCGCGCATGAACACACTGTTGAAGTATCACATTGCCAAATTTCACCCGGAAAGATAAACGAGGCGAAATGAAGCACTATATAGTTGTGTGACATCGACTGATTGAATGACTGTGTAAAAACATTAGCGAATAAACATTTACTACATTTATACACGACAATGTATCAATTTATTTTATATCTAGTATACCCTGAGCCTGTCTTTTTATTTATAAATAATGTTATTCAATTCTGACTAATATAACTTTGTTTCAGGTAATAAAAGAGCTGCAATGGTCAAAAAAGAAATTTTAAAGGGCTCTAGTGGTAATGAAAGACGACGAGAAATAAAAAAAAGGAATCAATCGATAACAATACCAATAATAAATTGAAAATTCATAGAGAATAAAATCGATAACATAAAATTCGTAATTATTTCAACGATGTCCGCAAAGTCCCTTTTTTATAGCACTTAGAATTAGCCGCTTCGCTATCATATAAGTTCCTTCTCGACAGAGAAAACCTCAATCTCTTAACCAAAGCTGTCTTGTCTCTATATCGCATAATTATCTACCTCCGCCTCGTTCTCCGAGTCAGTCGAATGGCCGATATTAACCGTCACGGCTCTCTGTGCTTGCAGATCTGTTCCTGATATCGTCGTCGAAGCTGCTGAACACGAGCGCGACCTCGTCGACGCCGGGCACCCCGGCCAGTCAGAGTCCCGCGAGCGCGAGCGGCGGCGCGTCCGAGCCCCAGCAGCACCACAAGTGCAAGCACTGCGGAGCGACTTATCAGGTGCGCTCGATGCTGGAGCGACACTTGGCGCGCACCTGCAAGCGGGTGCCGCGCTCCGAGATCTACCAGTGCAACTTCTGCGCCTATCAAAGCACATACAAGGCCAACATCGAGCGTCACGTGCGAAATCTCCACGACACCATGCAGGCCGACTACAAGTGCGAGCTGTGCGACTTCAAGAGCAAGTACCTCTACTGCGTGAGGCGCCACATGAAAACCTTTCACCCCCAGTAAAAAAGAGAACATAGCAGCAGCAAAATAAAAAATACTACAATAATTAAGTTAGCGATGTCGTATGATGTGTGACGTACAGTGCCAACGAAGAGAAAATGAAACGTGTGCCTCGCTTAATGATTCATGAGAGCCATTTTACAATTTGTATTATAAACTTTATGTGTCGATCTTACAGCAAATATGATTGATGTTACGAGCAAAAACATGAAAAACATTTCGTAGGTTTTAATGTTGACGTTATTGGATTGATAAAGCTCTCTCAAATCCAGACTATTTTTTAATGATGTACAGATTTTCAGTGTTTTCTTTTTCCTTTTTTTCTTTTTTTTAATTCGTTCAACGGTTGCAAACTACGAGTATGTCAAGTCCTCCAGTATACTATTATAACTAGTTTTATGCACCAATAATCATAAAAATGTTGATTCTCTATGATACTCACTTACATCTGAGATGTATTAGGAGGGTGGCTTGGTATTTTTCAATGATAAATGAAAATTATCAAATCTTAGGAATTTTTACAAGTTTCAATTTATTTATAATAGATACTTGTGTCTAAGACTCATACACTCCTATTTCAATTTATTTCGACGCATTTAAAATAATATGTCTAAAGCTTACAAACATTTTTGAACGAAATGAAAATTATTAATTTTAACATGAAAAAGGACTAAAGAAACTAACCAGAGCTTACATAGACATCCTCCTATTATGCAGATAGAAATTTCAATGCAGAGTTCCTTGATTGCATAAAGTTTTGGGTGTTTTTAAAATTTCTTAATCATACTATTTTGCCAAATTTAGACGTTTTCTCCTTTGTATTTTTATTATGTATTAAAGTGTCTTGGTGATTAAACTTTTGAATGAATATTTCTAATAAAATTTCTTTCAAAAAAAGTGTAAACCAATGTAACATTAATCTTTTAACCATGGACTATGATGGTTTATTTGTGTTTCCATGAAATTAAAGTGTGAAATACCATGTATTTTAAAAGAAAAGACGTAAACATAAAGTGACTTAAAAATGTAGTATTTAAATGCGGCATTGTCATACACACAGTAAGCAGAAAAAATAAACGAACTATATTACTTCCTCATTGAATGTAAGCTACAATTTCGAATAAATAAAATGACAAATTTTTTCTGCTAACTGCATGTTGCGATTCTCATAAAAATGTATTATTTATTTTGTCTAATTTCTTTGATTAGAATAATTAGCTTAATCGAGTTTTAGATTGAACTGAAACGGCTATTTAGTTGAAGCTCGTTTTCGTAGGAGTGAATGCAAATTTTGTATCAATTTTTAATAAAGCAAAAAATTTTCTAGTACTTCGTGAGTACATTTAATTAATTGTTCTTATACAACTCTCAATACAAATCTTCCTAGCTATTTAATAATTACTTCTGCATGCCTCTTCTCTTTAATTTTCAATATTATTAAGTTATACTTTTCTACGTATCATTAAGCTATACTTTATCTTATGTGTGCATTCTTGTTACACTTACTCTTACTATATTACACAAACAACCAAAAAACAAATACTTAATTTATACCCATGAAACATGTTCCCTTTATTTTGACTAACACTCCTTTTCTTCTTTTTCCATTCCAGAACCGGCACCAGCACCAGCAACAGCACCATCGACACCAGTACTGATTCCGAGGACGGTAACCCGCATCGCCCTGCGCAACATGAGACGATACACCTCCTCGCCGGCCGCGACGAAGCGCCAGCTGCACGCCTGCCGCACCTGCGGAAAAGTCTACGCCGTCGCCCGATCGCTCTGGCGTCACGAGAAGTTCGAGTGCGTCAACGCCCTGCCCAAGCTCCACTGCGACCTGTGCGACTACACGAGTCCGCATCGCTGGTGCCTGGACACTCACCGGCTCAAGAGACACGGCGCCTCGGCCCTGAAGAAGGTGCCCGTCAGGAAGTAAACCGTTTTTTATTGAGTGCTTAGATTTTTAATGATGAATAAATGAAAAGACAACAATAACATTACTACTTTTAAGATGTTACTTTTAATATAATGATGATGATGTCGAGAGAAAAGAAGATTCCATTTTAAATAATTGTGCGAATGACTTTTATCGATAATTTTGTCAAATGCTAGACTTAAAAAATTGCTTAGTTGTTTAATTAATTGTTTTCTATTAAGCGGTTTTATTAAATTAATTAAACATAACTCAATCAAATAACCTTTAAGTGCTGGCGATTGTAAATACATGGACTATCTAAGACTTTTTAGAATGAAAATAAAACTAATAAACTAAAGTTTTTTGCCTAAATTTAGGTAAAAATCTAACCGAAAAATCCCCAGCAATCGAAGGTTTAGCCCACATTCAATCGAAAATAAAGTTTTAGATAATTTAACTTAATATTTAGTTGATTCAATAAGACCGCTTCTAGATATAGCAAACTATTTTTTCAGTATAGAATTTTAATTTTTTTTACATCAAACGTTTGTCAACTTTGTAGTTGATTACTTTCAATTTTAAAAATGAGTTTTGTATCAAATAAACATGATTTTTACTCATTAAAAATTTGTCAACTTTGTAGTTGATTACTTTCAGTTTTAAAAATGAGTATTGTATCAAGCATGCATGATTTTTACTCATTTAAAATGTGTAAACATTGTATTTAATTAATTTGAATTTTAAAAATGAGTTTTGTAATAAATAAACATGATTTTTACCCATAAAATATTATGTCTACTTTCTTTATGCCACATTCATCGTCCTGACCGGAGCCATGACATTTGATCTCTAATAAAATTAGGCTAATTGTACATTCTTTTGTGTTTCAGAAACAATCAAATGATGCCTTATCCAAGTGTGACTGGCCGAGTATGAAAACAGAGAGATTCTTTCAATCCATTGTTTTAACGGTGGTTTTAATTTAAATCAGCAAGTAATTAGAAGACACATTTTTTGGGACACATGGTGACGAGCAACTTTCACAAAAGATTGTACACGAAAAAATAAAGTTACTTATTGATAATTTATAATGATGTTGAATTGACCCATTAACACAAACAAATTATTTGCATGTTTGGTTGTGGTTTATATCCTATAGCAACTTTCATCACCATTTTAATTTATTTACAAAAAAATAATTACATTTATCTTATACTAACTCACATTTTTAAACAGCAAAAAAAAAAAAAACAAAAAAAATAATCCTGACGATCCTTGACGCTTAAAAAAGCGAGAAATAATTAACGAATGTTTCAGCAGAAGACAAAATGTTGACCAGTGCTTGGCTGTTCGAGCTCGAGCACGATCCCGCGGCGACTCACGATCCGCCCTTCGCTGCATTCTCAACCGAAGAGTTGGGCTTTCCGAGCTTCGACAACGATCACCTGTACTGGCAAACGTCGGCCGTGACACCGGTCATCTCTTCGGGGGCGGCTACCGCCTCTGCGACCGGCAACAATATCAATGGCAAGGCGAAGCCGAGAAAGCGCCTCGACAAGACGTCGGCCCTGCCGAAAAAGCCGAGGGCGCGAAAGCTGCGCAACACCGACAAGAACTACTTTTGCGCGCACTGCTCCAAGCCCTTCTCGAGGCTCGACAGTCTGCGCCGACACGAGCGCAAATTCTGCAAGTACGAGATAATGCAGAAGAAGAAGGAGATCGACGCCAACGATGGCATGAATGTGAAGGAGGATTGAAATTAGACATACTTCAACTCTATGTGTACATTTATGGCTTTATTACTTTTGTAAATAATCGCTAAAGCTTTATACTATGATTTTTATAAGTTTAAGATAAAACATTAAGTAGGATATTATTAAATCTATTTGTTTGACAAATAGTTGTAAAATAAAGAACCACGATGATTTCAGCGTTGACGCAACTTAGATAGGTACTAAAAAGAAATGCTTTAAAAAATAAACGGTATTCTGTTTAATATCCAGCAAACTTCAACATTCCAAAGTTTATTTGATTTATGTAAAAAGTATATTTAACTTCATGGTTATAGAAAAAAATAATTTGTTACTGTAAATAAACGCTGCTACTTCAATTGCATATACTAGATGGTTCAATCATTAAAAATATACACGACAACTGAAAAATCATTCGACGTGACTCTTGAAGTTTCTCACGCAACACGGTAAAAAATTGATTATCTCCGATCCTTCTATCTCTCTTTTCTCTTGCGTGATATCGGTTCACGAAAAATTTCTGTGTGTACACGTCCCGCACCGAAAATTTTTTCCAAAATATCACACCTGTTTTACTGGTTTTATTACGTACAGATCGCTCGCTCTCTGGGTGAGTCAGGGAGTAGAGAAAACCGTTAATCGCCATTGGGCCCGTGAGCATACATATCGTATATCGTATACTGCTGCTCACTTACTCGATCTAAATTTTCTCCATCCAATAGAAAATATCATATACATTGTTGTTCACGTACTGGATCTCGATGCCGCGCATCTCATTGAGACATATTGAGCAGCGATGCAAGCTGTGAATTATAAAATCTGTCATTCGATGCTCGAAAACTTTTCAATGAAAACGTTTCGGGAAATGCGAGAGAAAGTGTCTTTTTTTAATCGTTTTATTTATTTTTTCAGGTTTTCAAGAGTGGCCTTTCCTGGGAACAAATTGAAAATTCACGAGTCATCCGAGTAAGATGATCATACTTAGAAAGTTCAGTTTATTATACATTCACGCTCGGAGGCAGCTTGCCACGAAAAGCATATCAAACCATAAAAGGCGATCGGAGAGAGAGAGAGAGAAGTCAATGGTCTCTCTCTTGCGTGACGATTTAGTACGAAGAGACACTTTATCACGGCACAGAGGGCGCAAGCTATCGGCCGTGGCGCGCGGCCTTTTCTCGCACGCTAGCTCATTTTGATTTGCGCAACACAGCACACTCATGTGTCAATGAACTTACAACGAGTGGAAACTCGAAATTTTGTACCTGACATTACGTAATAAAAAACCATGAAAGAAAAGAGAAATAGCGACTTGTCATAATATATCGTCTTTTTTT